TCAAGCTCAGCTATTTTTTTGTGTGCCTATAAAGCAGTATTTAGTCTGGCATTTTCGCAGCATTTTTATATATATATTATATAAATTATTCATTGTATTTCAACAGTAAGTAATGTTTCGATGCTCACATATTCCATCACATACATATAATTTTCCTGTTGAGGCTCGAATATGGTTTGGATGTGGAGCAAGCAGGTTTTCCCGGCTCACAATCCGATTTGTGGAATGTGCATGTCACGAGTCTGTCATTCAGGGTTTTCTCGCTTAACTCATATTTTTACGCTAACCCTAATTATAAAATGTTCCCCAAAATAGTATGATCAGCAGAATCGGACCATACCACATCTCTGATAGTATCAGAAAAGATTTTGCTTTAACATATTCTTGGATGTATCGTCGTCGATCAAAGAATGTTAGTCCCAGCGTGGTTTACCGGGAAGCACAAACTCATCCTCTTGAAATTTCTCAAGGCTACTTTCGCATGTTCTATTTGAAACTGCATAATCGGTAAACACTTTTTTCGGTATAGTCATTTGCAAGACCGTTGGTAGAAATAGTGAGCCAGATATCCGTAACTGTCAAATATTGTTGGATACCGGATTAGCAAGAATTTCGGAATTGGTGCTTTTGTGTATATTTTGATGGGTATTTCACTACCGGGTGTTTTGTCACCTCGATCTTTTTTGCAGAATTACGCTGGCCATATGCTCCAGGACGTAATATGTAACAAAGAATTAAACATGTTGCTTTTGTCCGTTTGACCACGGACAGCCAACCAGACTCTCGTGCTTTTTGGTAGCTCATCAGCATGGACTATTATCTATCCGACGTATGAGTCGAATGTCGAGTAGACCAAATCTGCTGTCTTATTTCGATATATTTAGACCTCGAATAGATAAGCTGCTATGCTTTCGTTTGTTGTCCCAGAGACCAAGCCTAGACGATGCCTAGAAGATGCCAACCACTCGTGTTGGCGAAACGTCAAGTAAAAATATTTTACGACGGCCTAACTACCCAAAAACCAGCCAAATAACATTGGATGCTGATGCGTTGTTAGAAAGCATGAATTAGCTATTCATGGTTGACTGGTTAACATGGCACTATACCGCCAGAACGGTCAGCCTCTGGCGGCCACGGTGATAACTGGGCTATCAAACGCGAACTTTACAGTTCAATTGATAGCTGCTATACACTCTGACAGTTGTCGACTCTGGTAATGGATGGCGCTTTTGGAGAGTCTCAGGACTTAGATTTAGAGTCCCAGTATTTTTTCCAAGTTATTCGACACTTAAGACTGCACTCGTGGTAGATTGGGGTTTTTTCTGCTGTTGAATTTTCCAATGGATACTGGACTGTCAGAGTTATTTCAAGAGTAAAGTACGCACCCGAGCTCGGAATCTGTTGATGTGTTTTGTACGTGACCGGATTAGGCACACTTGATGAGGGTTGTTTGTCTTGCTTGTGGAAGTTTGAGGATTATACGAATGCATTTTTTATTCTAGCGAAACATCAGAGTTATTCCAAATGGAATTAGCGCCTGGACGCGTTTTTATAATTAATCACTGTACTTGCCAGTATAGCGATTATTCGACTTTTTCTGTTAATTTTTTTTACCGGAGCAAAATGATTATTAGAACTAATCGCCAAATACTTTAAACACAAAGGATACTAACACAAGAGTACCAGTATTTTAAAAGAAAATTAATAAAACAAATGCTGTGGATGGCAAAGTAATTCTTTACTAACTTTACTAACAGTTTGATGATTGGCGAGGATATATTGTAATTGCTAAAAATCCTGAAATTGGGATATGTTATTTTGACGTTACAAGACAGCACGAAAAACCATGTCACCATAATTTCGACTATCTGTCCGTCTGTCCGTCAGTCTGTCAGTCTGCTTATCCTTGGATTTTGATGCACATTTTGTGCAAGGTTAGTTCTGTGCCAAGGACGAAACATCTTTGTAGGATTTGAACATCGATCCAGCGGTGGCGGAATAACGGGTAATAAACGAAAAACAAAGATTGCTTCGTTTTTTTACTTGACATAATATTTCTCTTACATTTATGCGGGGATTCTACGCAACACCAGTTACCCAGCAATACGTGACCAATCCACAACTGTATCAGCGGTTGGTCCAACCACATGTCTCAGTTTTGAAACAGTGATGTTGTCGCAGTGCTGATGAGAAACATTTGGTCAGTATTTACTACCGGTGTAATAATGAAAAGACGTTCACCTGTGTGTCCTGTTAATTTGGAGAAGTTTTAGGAGAACAAAAAATGTTGTCCAGACGTATAATGTATACTCAGGGTATTATTTCGAAAACTGTTTATAACAACAACACCTTATCATCACTTATATTCATTCTACTACCTGTATATCATCTCTGCTTCCAAGTTTGAGGATTTTCATAGCCGCGTAATGGTACACCACTTAAAGGCCATAATTTCTATTTTGTTTTTCAAATCAACAATACTTCTCCCATTGAAACTCATTATTTTCCACAGTTCTTTCCGCAAATGTCAAATATTTAAACTGCAAAGGCGTACGAAGGTTAAATCAGATATAGGATGAATATTCCTAGTTAATTATTTCATTTTTTTCCAAATGCGCTACTTCAAACTTGCTGAAAAATTGTAAGCCCAAGACATTTTATTTTAGTGTCGATCACTTGCCTCATCTGAACGTAATCTCAAGATATGAATGAATGAATGAATGAATCTTGAATTTTAGAGGCATCCCGGCCACCATAAGGAGCCAGTGCATAGGCCGCTTAAGCGGGCCCTTATGCACCTCTACAATACTTAAATCACAAGCCTCGCCCTTTTAGCGAAGTTGAGAATCGCCTTGAGTCCAAGCTCCTTTACGTCCTGAGGGTCCAAAGTAATGGACCCCAGTATAGTCTGCCTATAGTAGCTCAGAGCTTCACAGCGACACAAAACGTGCGCCGAGGTCTCTTCCTCTACTCCGCAGCGTTCGCATAAGGGATCCTCAGCCACCCCCATCACGTGCAGGTGCCGCCTTAACGTGTTATGGCCAGACAACAGTCCCACCAGCAACCTTAGGTTGGCTCTACCCAGAGATAGGCAGAAGCGTCCATCCTTAGCACTGGGCCCTTCAATGAGCTCTCGTGCCTGGCGGAGATGTCTAGAGATACTTCTCCATTTCTGAGAGTGTTGTCTTGCAACCCACGTCTCCATTTTCCTCCTAGCTTTATGCGCGGTTACTCCTAGAGCTGGCTCAGGACCAACGAGCTTGCTGGCTGATCCTGTTTTCGCCAGAGTGTCCGCCGTCTCATTGCCCCTTATCCCAGCGTGCCCCGGTACCCATATTAACGATACCGGATGCCTCGCTGCGAGGCAATCCAGAGCCTCCCTGCATTGCAATACAAGACTCGAAGTAATCTTACATGCACTTAGTGCTTTCATTGCAGCCTGGCTGTCGGATAAGATTGTTATTCTTCTCCTAGGCCCACCCTCCTCCAGAATGTGAGATACACAAGCCAGAATCGCAAAGATTTCCGCCTGGAAAATGGTGGTGTACTCACCGAGAGGCAGAGATAGCCTAGTTCTAGGTCCAGAGACCCCAGCACCTGAGCCCTCTTCGGTGACCGAGCCGTCCGTGTACCAGACCTGCCCGCTCACTTCGGAGAGTCCTCGGCTACCGGCGTCCCACTCCTCCCTCGTTGGGTACTCCACAATGAACTTGCGGTTGAAGCGATATTTAGGGGTAATACGATCACCCCTGCTTAGAAGGACGGGGTCCTCCCTATCTAATTCGACTAATATGGCAGTATGCCCCTTGACCGGATTCAAGAAAGCCCAGCTGCCCTGACTCCACAGTCGATGAGCGACTACTCTCGCTTCACCGCGGATCACCAGATCCAACGGTGGGAGATCCAACAGAGCTTCCATTGCACTCAATGGCGTTGTTCGCACTGCGCTTGTAATGCTAATACAGGCCAAACGCTGAATTTTATTGAATCTCAAGATATTATTAGTTTTGTCATTTACAAATTCCGCATACGTAAACGTTAACGTCAACCATGTTTCATACCAAATCAACGATTCATATGCTGTAATGTCAAGTCAGGTTAACTTTAAGGTTTACATGCAGTATTATTTCAGATCCAAACCATTTTTGGCGGTTAGATTACAATGTCATACAAAATGAATGTTTGTACAATGTTCCTTCTGTGAAAGTGTGGCTATGGCTATGTTGCATATCGAAGATCGAAAAGAGATAAGCTCACATGGCACACCCGGTGTCATACGCACAGTGACAAGCATGAAAGTGAAAGACACTCACCTTAACGAGACAAATTTCAAGGCAATGAGGTAAGACTAAAAAATGCATGTCCATGCACTGAGGCCAGTTGCGTACGTATGTGCAAGGGAGGTAGATGTACGAAAATGATTCCATTAGTTTTTCTGTGATCCGTCAAAAACCATATAAAGACATTGGGAGACTTCACAAGCAGTCTGGCTGGTGAATTGTTTTTTAGAATTTTACGTTACTTGTGCCACACCCTATAAATAGTTGAGCTTCGTCTCGTACATGTGTTCCCCGTATGCTCTCCGAAATCCGAAATACGAAATCCTCGGTTATTCCATCCAGTGGAACATACGAATTCCATCAATCGGGCCGAGGTATCGATCGCCTGACAGAATCTAATTATCTGTGAACTGACACGAAGGACATTTTCGCAGCAGTTAGTAGGTACGGGGGTGTCGTCCTTTATCTAGTTTTTGGGGCGTTCGAATGGACATTTTCAATAAGTATGCGGATTTTATGCCGCAAGGGATGGTAACCTATATCCAGGGGAAAGCTGATCATTTAGTTTACGAGTTATGAGATCAGTAGATTGCCAATATGGGTGGTAGACGACACACAAACTGTTGGTAGACAAGTGTCATAATCTCATTCTTCACTCTCCAGCGGAACCAAGTGGACCTGAAAAATGCTAATTTAATAAAGTATGCTTTTTTTGAATAGTAGTAGTCCAACAGGTTTATATAATGGACAAATAAATATTCCTCAGGTGATGAAATATCAAACCAGTATATACAGATTTAGCAGGAGAGACATAGGTGATGGAATAGGTATTTATATGAACATACCTCCTCCTAAAATGTTGAACCAATAAGAAAGAAAATAGCCATCCATTCAGATTATACAGAAAACACCAGGAACTTGTGTGCATCTGATGTTCCAAAAACAAAGTGTTGAATGGGGTTATGTTCTGAGGATATAGGAGTGTGACTCAAGTACGAAGACTGGATACCGTGATTTAGCAATGTGACAAGGAACAATAAATATGCATGGTGATTCAAATGGTTATACCTCTAGGGCAGAAAGTAGGACTGAAGATAACAGAAGCTTGATTTAAATATGGGTCCGAAAATGCTCCCAACCGAATTTCGCGATGTCAAAGCTATGTCTTCGAAATAGAGAAATAAATTATATCCGTGGTGGATATAGTGATCACTTTAAAATTTTCTACATTTAATCCTACCATCATATCCAGTACATACAAGGATTGTTGTGGCCCAGAAGGTACCACTGGCGGCCCCTAAAGCAAGAGAAAAATACTTTCTACACCATTGATTTTTTTATTGTATCTCATAATGGGTTATTTAACCTTACATGGAGAATTTTTACTAGGCCATTCCTTTCGGAAATCATTTATTGTGGTTATTTGAAGTGAAATTAGTATACAAAAATTCCGTTTTACTTTGTAAATACGATGGAGTTAATAAAGCGTTACATTGAAAATTCCTAAATATTAGAGTAATGTACTAATATAATTTCAGAATACGGCAATCTCAAAAATAACTAAAGAATAAATTCTGAAATAGCAGGTCAATCCTGATACTCTGACAGCAAAAAGTGTTGAATTTGTATACAACCAAATCAATGACTCTACATTAGTACTTATCTAAGGAAATTCTTGCAAACGTCATCCGATTGTATTCATTGTATCATTCCATACACATGGGTAAAATTACCCACTCTTATTCCTTGGCACGATCCTAGAAGCTTTCAAAATGGTTGTTGGTGTGACAGTTGCTACGACAATCTGTTGGAAAATGACAATTCAATACTGATATACGGAAAATCACATTGTGACTGGTTAGTTCTCAAGAGATTCTTTTTTATGGCGCCCTGCCAATAACCGAGAAGTCGGAGAAAATAATTTAAATTACTGCAGCAAAGTGAACCAACGTTTTTTTCAAACCATTTATACTTCCCACTGCCAATGGGGTATTGAATCGCGAAAATTCAGCAATGTAACAAGTAACAATAAATATGCATGGTGATTCAGTTATACCTCTAGGGCACGAAGTAGGACAGACACTTGATTTAAATATATGTCCTAAAATGCTCCCAACTGAGTTACGGGATATCAAAGTTATATTTTCGGAATAGAGGAATAAATTATATCTCCCTGGTGGATATAGTGATCAATTTAAAATATTCAATGTGTAATACCACCATCATAACCAGTTCATACAAGGATTGCGGTGACCCAGACTATACAACCGGCGGCCCCTAAAAAAAAGAGAAAAAACTTTCTAAGTCATTGTTTTTTTTATTGTATTTTTGTCATTTGGAGAATAACTATTTTGAATATTTGAATCGAAATAAACAACTTGAGCCCGTTTCACTTTGTAAATACGATGGAGTTAGTGAATCGTTATATTGGAGGATAAATTTCGTCTTCGTTATCTTATGCATGTTTTTTATCTTATGCATGTTCTACCCTTGATCAGCCTCATCAACGTCGTAGAAATTTACAAAAACCTGTACATTGGTAACCTTCTATGTTTTTAAGTACTCTGCTCTAGGAATATTGTCTGTTTTTTGGGCCACCCTGTATAGTGATTGCAGTATAACGTCAGGATTGTGTGCGAACACTATTATTATACAATCTAGCCTAATTCTTGTAATATGGAGTAGATGTATAGTGGTTTATTTTGAAGAATCCCTTACCAAATGTGGCATCCAGCAAGGAAAAAATGACCCTACAAAGATTCTGTATTACTTCACCAAATTGTTGTGTGTATGAAGAGAATAACCCAACAGTTTTAAAAAAAATACCTACCTAGTAGTAGATACTGGTGCACTCTGGACACCCCCCACCACTTCCACTTTGGCCACGCCCACCGCGTGCTCTGATTGGCGGATCAGACGGCGGGAAATTTGAACGGGGTTGATGGTATATGTTGATTGGCGGGACCGCTAGATCCACCGCATGCTCTGATTGGCGGATCAGACGGCGGGAAATTTGAACGGGGTTGATGGTATATGTTGGCCCCGCTAGATGCCGCACCCTACCGGAAGTGATTCAGACAGCCGACGATAGTAAGGTGTAGTATAACGTCTATGCGTAAGTGATGTGGCTCATTTCATGTTTTGCGGTAAATATTTGCATATAGATCGATAAAAGCCGATGAATAATGGTAATTATAGATGCAATTCTGCGGATTCAGTTTAAATGGAAAAACGTATAAAATTCGCGGAGAACAATGCGTATAGGATGATCTCAATAGTCAACACGTCATATTCAGTGTGCATATAAAAATGGAATTGCTCATATGTGGTGCATACAGTTAATGTTAGTTCATTTTTAACATTGATACAATATTGAAAACATAGTACAGTCTATATTGTGTATCTAATAAATTCCAACAAGGCAATCACCTACGTCGCAAATGAGGTTAGGTTCAGCGCAGGTGTTGTCGTAGCGGTGATATGCAAGAAGTACCGGGCGGGGCTGTCAAGCATGACAGAATGGGCAGGGAGCGCAGGCTGTCAACGAGTTAATACCTGCTTTAGATACTTTCGGTCACACAGAAGCAAAACATTTTTATTCGTCAAAGAATTGAAAAAAACCCGACTACCTCTAGAGATGTTGGTGACAATCCAGCAAGGAAACTTCACAGTGTCTTTAGTATGGGTAAACTAGGAAGATTTCTATATTGATGGTGAAACACTGCTTCTGTCGGACAGAAGATCCAGCAGCGAAGAATGTTCATTCAGTTCAATTAGGACATACGTCGCCGTCGGAACGTATATCCGGCAAATGCCTATGCAACCTGACTCGACTGCGGCTGCCTGTTCGCATCAAGCGTGCCTTCATTAATGAGTTAATCAGAATGCGAGAATGATTGATATCCTGGGCATCGGCGGCGGCTGATGCATGTTTTCCATCCCCTCTCCTCTCTTCTAACCCCCCCCCCTTCGTACTCTCACCCCTTCACTTACCATTCGCGCTAGACACAATGCACAGCCTGCGTCGCATGTTCTACATCCGCCCTCGTACTCCTTGTCCATAAATGCCTATATTCCTTGTTCGTATACTGGGTGGTACTGTTTCGTTTTGGACTTAGATGTTTCTAGTTTTCAGTATGTACTGATGATATGAAGCAGAAGGTCTTGAGGAGCAGAACTTTGGGCAACGCTACTAAGGCCCTAGGGTAGGTTTAGGTGTTAATCTTGTCCTACATGTTGTAAGTCATCACCATACGCAGGCTGGCGTCGCTGGCACCTGTGTTTGCATCACTACAACCTGGCTGACAAATTGAACTCCGGCATGCGAAAGTATGGAAAATGGAAACACGTTATCAGCAGCAACAGTCTTTTATTACCCAATTCATGTGTGCAAGAGTAGCTTGATTGAAAATAGATTTGCGAAGTATGCAATTTCCCCTACAAAATTAGGGCTTCCCATTTGATACGGTTGATTGCTTTGTTTGCTTTTTCCATAAAATGTTACGTTACAATTTCATACGAAATAAGTAAACAGATTGTCTAATTGTAACACGGGCGGAGCTTAACTTCCCTAAGTTTTCATTCACTTTCCGAAAGTATTCCAATAAGTTTAACTCAGGCTCTCGACATTTTAGTTGCATCTCCAAGCATTGCTATATTACATATCGAAGATCGATAAAAGGTAAACTCAAATTGCCCCCCGATGCCAAGCAACTTGTCATACTGACAGTGATAAGAAAAAATGTGGGTGAGGAGAAAAAGTAGTAGAGTAGTAGAGAAAAAACAAATCCGTATGTCCGTGAGCTTACACAAACGTTCGCTCATAGAGGCCGATTGCATAGGCAATTATGAGGGAGATGATTGTATGAAAATAAGTCTTGTTTTACTGTGACCCGCAACAAAACGTGAAAACAGAGGTATAACTTACGTATAGATGATACTATACGTCATTGTCCATCAAAGCGGTCCGGTGGACCTTTGCTCTTAAGTTTCGTCGGTCTAGCTACCCAGATACCAAACATGTTTAAGGCGAAAATGGAAAGAAGGGAAGAAAGGAAGAAAGGAACAGATCAAAGAAAAGAAGTAAATCATTTGAAATAGCTTACGCATTATTGGCTTGACTACTCGAATAATTTTGTAACTCCAAAAAATAATTTTGATCGGTTTTGAATACTGATATAATTTTGGTTGATCTGAAATTCACAATTTAATTATGGTCACAGTGCGAGGCGCGGCCTGGAATGTTTTCGGACTTGCTCGACTGTGTAGTCTACTGAATCACGCAACAGGGGGTTGCTGTGTGATTCGGCTTGATGATAACGCCGCTGTTCCTGTTGTTTTACATAATCTCTTAGATATGGTATATCAAAATCTCTGTTGATGGGCTCATTTGACACGTACCATGGGAAATTGGTGATTATGCGTCGTGTTGTATTTTGCAGCTCTTGCAGTCTTGGCAAGAAAATACCAGGCCGCGCATGCGTAGGCGATTGTGGATGTAATGGCCATTTCATACAACCGAATCTTGTTGATCAAACTTAAATTTGAATTTCTGCACAACAAAGGATAAAGCTGCGGAAAGGTAATTTTGAATTTCGTTTTCAAAATATCAGTATCTTCCTGCCAGGTCAACTCCTTGTCAATAATGACTCCAAGCTACTTGACAGATTGTTCCCATGGCATACGAGTTCCATTCACTGATATCTCTGATAGTGCACCGCGACGTTTTTTAGTACAAAAGATTGCCTGCGCTTCCGAAGTAGTAATTTTGATCAGCCACCGATCCATCCGCCCACTCCAATACTTCCTCCACCGCACTCTGCAGCCTGTGGTGAACCAGGTTACCAGAACACGACTAGGCTAGCAGTGCAGTATCATCAGGAAAGAGATAGATTGCACAGTTGCTGGGGCAAGGGACGTCATGTAAATATATAGAGTGAGGACTGCTCCTAAGACCGAACCCTGAGGACCGCCGGCTCTTACAGGCTGTGTTGTTGACAAAACATTGTTAATTTTGATCCGAAACTTCCTTCCTTTCAGGACGTATAGATGACGATGTTCCGAAAAGTTACGCCTCGCATCAAATATAAATAATCATTGGAAATCGGTCATACACATGTGGGAATTGCAAGAATATAGGGCATATCCGCATGGAGACATAAATCAAGAGATGCAAGTTGCATGTCTGGCAATATCGGAACGTATTTCTTGATAAAGTGTCCTTTCGATTCACATCCGGTGTACAGATGGGACGCTGTCATTCTAGTAATGCACTTGCGAGAATATGCACAGAGGTACAGTATGGAATAAAATTATTGATATTGCGGGGAGGGTTTATGCGGCCTACATTTAATTTGGATAAAAATGTTCAAAATCTCCTATAGTCAAAAAACTAAGTCGATTCCACCGTAAACGGATCACCTTCACCCCCATAGTGTTCCCAAACCACCTTTTAAAATAGTGAAAATACCGTCACCTAATAATAGTATTTTTGGAAAAATTCGTCACTTCTTAATAATGTACCACTTACTCGATTTTGACTATTTTCGCTTCGGTTTATCACTCTTTGCAATTTTACTCACTTTGAGAAGGTTGCAAGGATAAAATAGCAGGAGGTGGACTTACTAGACAGGCCTACAAAAAAAACGGGTATTCTTACTTTACATGTGACATATGATTACAGATGCATTTTAGTCTTCTAAACACGAATCTGTGGTTAATTTTGCTCAATCCTCCTTTACTCATCAAACTATTACTAAAAGCCTTCAGAAGGATGAGGACATTTCAAGAGTGATTGGCTCTGCACGTGTGTCAGATGATTTTCGAAATACTCGTACTTTTGTCCTCTGAACACGAATCGCTAAAAACCTTTAGAAAAATGAACTTGAAGAGTGATTGGCGCTGAACATACGATATATCAGGTTGTGGACCGGCACTGCAACTGAATCTCTTTTATGTGTTTGCACTCATTCTCGTTGTATTGACGGGTGGCAACGTAGTTTTTCCGCTGTCCGACAGAGTTCTTGGGTTACGGCTGATTTTTAGCAATTTACTGAAAACTAAAGGAGGATCGGTCAAAACTGATGACGGATTTGTGTTCAGAAGACAAAAATAATTGGAAAACCATATGTCGAATGTACAAAGGCAATAACTCTTCAACAGTCCTGAATATAGAAGGTAGATAGAGCTAAAATAACCACAAATTCGTACACATGAGTTATAAGATCGATGCCTCGAGATCGCTTTTTAAACAATTTATTTCCGAAAATTCAAAAACTCAAAAATTTACTTTTACAAAATTATTACAATGTTATTAGGATGTTAACAGTACAAAGGCTTAAATCTGACTGACTATAAAATGTGTTGAGAACAATAAAGTAAACTCTAGGTCTTCTAGGAAATTAGTAGCATCGTCGGCAGCATTCCTGGCATATCAGCAGGTTCGGCTGATATAAATCATGAGACAAAAATACTCCAAACTCATATATCGAATGTGAAATGTCTTAATTTTTCTGAGAGTTTTTAGCAATTTTCTGACGACTGAAGGAAGGTTGAGCAAAACAAACCAAAGTAAAATGTGTTCAATTTGCTTTAACGAAATCGTAAAAAGTGAATGTAGTATATCAGTAAAAGCACTACACATAAACAATTTTTTACTCAGACTTTACCAGAAATGTAAGAATAGAGACGTTTTGTTGTCTACATGAGATTTTTTTCTGTGCGCTTTGTCTATATTAATGATCCATATATCATTTTCCTTTGTGATATATATTTCTATGCTATTTTTCTTCTTTTCAGGTAAGTTGTCAAGTTTCCTCAAGACTATCCTAAGACCTAAGACTGTAAGTAAATTTGCCATGATTTGAGATAGTTAAACACTTGTAGGGGCGAATGTCAAGATTAGAAGGATAGATGCTAAAGCCCTACTTAAAAGTGAACACAAAGTGCGGTTATCTTGAGACTGATGACGTCGTGACTTTTATATGTCAAATCTGTTTTCAAACTGTGATTTTTGTTTCCTAAGATTCAATGATTTTCGTACCAAGGGGACTTGGAACTCGTATTTCAGTGTATTTAATTCAAGAAGGTAACGCTCTCATACTCAGGTGATTCCTTACAACTTCTTTATTTAGTGTGATGACGATCTAAAGCTCTGTATTATTTTTAGAGCACCGAATCTTCATACTGAAAGTTATTTCTTTATGTTTAGAGGTTGTATTTTCGTGTAACAATGAAAGTAATTCACTACACATAATGAAGGAGTTTTCCAAACATAGAGCAGAAATTCAGGAGATGACTATGTAGGTTCTTCTAAGATTTGTTATCTTGTCGGTTTTAGAAGAGTTATGTTTCGGATACACAGAAGACAGAATTCTAAGAAGTCTCTAAAATATCTTTATTGCTAAAAATCACACAATCACTACCTGATCAACTACTCCTAGCTAAAATGCAAGACCCCAATATCTTCGTCTATATATACCACCTAATTGTTTCGGATTTACCATGGCCATTTCTTACTGACTTTAGATATGCCAATATGCGTTTTGACAGAAAGATGAAGAGATATAGTAGGTTAAGATGAATTTGACTTATGGAGTGTTTGATTTTTAAACAAAAACTTCATTGACTATTCCTCATGGGATCATCTAAAATGCTTAGCTTACACTAGTGTAATTAAGATGTGAAAGATGTCAGAACTTCTTAAAATTTATTGCAAGTAAATATATTTGCACCGTACAAACAAGTTTTTAATTTTCTTTTATATAGTAAAAGATGTTTTTCGCAAAATAGCTAACTGTCAAAGTGTAACATTTTATTATTTCAACTGTGAACAATAGTCAGTCCGTAGAGCTTTAACGTAACAGTAGGGCAGCAGTCTTCACTTTATAGGAACGTGGAAGCGGAATACAAAGCGAATAAGAGGAAATGTTTATAATTAACTTTTATAGTAAACCGAGCACATTTGCAAGTCATCTCCCACTCTACTTCCCTACAGTTATGAAATCCAACATTATTTCTGCTTTTCTACCCTCGAATCCTGTTTCTGCGTGATCTCCTTGACCTGGTTCTTGCTGCTTTCTAGCACTGAATCGCCCACCGACAGTTGTAGTCCCTTAATTATTTCACAGACTACAGCAGCCGTATTTTGAAAGCTAAACTTTGTTTATACTAAGTGCATAACCAACTCATTATGCACGTGGTCTGTTGCAGATAAGTTCCGGTCTTAACTTAGACTTCGTGATTTCAGCTTCGTGCTTACGTTGGTCGTTGTTACAATTATCAAGGCAAAGAGCTAGGAAAAGTTCTATTAACAGTCCTAACTTGAACCTCGTTTGATTTCGGTGCTAGTGTAGTCATTTGAAAGCACACGACCCCATCGGAGTAGCTGTTTTTTTATTGTCGTTCCTTTAGATTCATCTGTTTATATTAGTGATTATAATCAGTTTACCTGCACAGGGTATCTTAAAAAGCAGTATAAATTGCAAAAATAAGTACATTTTTACGTGTCTTCAATTCTGGCCTGTTGGAGCTCAGATGGCAATTTGGCATACATTCGTTGAGTAAATCGTAGTAACTGCTGAAGAGAACTTGTTTGTTTAGATCTGGCAACTATCTTTTATCATCCAGCCTCCTCTGCCAAACGCAGATGAACTCCTCTTTCCATACCAAACGGGATTCGGATCCAATTCCTCAATAGGTGCCGCTATGCCAGAAAGCTTATTATGCACTCCCAGGTATCAACTAGAGCTTCATTCCAAAATTTTAAGAAACTTCGCAATCATTTTCACTGTAGACTAAACTTGTCAAGGACGTGGTCCTTCTACCCTACTTTGTAGTTTCTTTCGGCTCCCTAGGCTTTCTACAAAGGAGGCTTGATTCACTCAACCCTTTTTTATATTGTAGTGTCCTGAATAACCAATGGTCGGTTAAAAATCCAACAACAAAGTGCGTCCAAACCAAATGAGCACTTCCAAAGGGTTATAAAAAGATATCTGGATGTAATGTATATGTAAAAAAGATAGCGGCTGTTAGCCTATTGGAAACGAGCTATCGCTTATACATATCAACGGCAGAAACGTTCACTTCTTCAACAATCCACTCCTTTAGGTCTAATAGGATGTGTGGGAGATGCCTTTTTCTTAGACATCCCCAGAGAATGAAGTCACAGATGCTCAAATCTGGTAATCGCGTTGACCACCCCACATCACCTTTCAACGAGGCTTCCTGGAAACATGTGATGTTGGGGCTGTGAAGCTGTGGCCCGCACAGGTATCATGTAAAAAACCTATAAAACGTCAAAAAAAACCTACAAGATGTCAACTTGCAGACTAGGTAGTTTTTAGGGCGCAAACAGTCATTCCACGTTTGCTCACTAGGATCGTTATCAATGTCCATCTATGGAGGAATCGCTCAACTAAACTACGCATTATTGGTTGCATAGTTTTGTGAGGCTGAGTGATCCGGGTCTGTAGCTTTTATCTCTGAGAAGAAAGTTGGTTAAATAACACGATGGCATCTGGATGATTATGTGTATTGGTCTGCATGTGTATAAAATCAGTGATATTTGCTGTGTGAGAAAATCATTACTGAATATGCCGAATATGACGGGTTATTTATATGTTGTGCTTTCTGAAGAGAGGTTATATTTATATTATAAGTTGTAAGTTACGAAAAATTGAGGAGAATCACGGTAAATCATCACCGCGCCCGCGTTGTGTGTAATTACTGTTAGCATGTATATGGCTTGTAATTCGACAGTGTACAGTGAATATAATTATTTCTTATCTTTCTCATTTATGAAATTCAGCAAATTTGTATATGTAATTTCCAGAATGGATAAGAAAAAGTGAATGCGCAACTAATTTCTAGCTTTGAATCTCATCAGAGCCAAATATTGATAACAAGCCTCATCACATTTAGGAAACACGTACATGTAAGTGTTAAGTTAACTTCTTGTAGAATAACCGGAATAATGTCAAAAAAAAACAGCATAATGTCAAAAAAAGTCAGCATAATGTCACTTTTCAAGATACGTGATTCCCGTGCCGATCTAATCCCAACTCGAATGGGGAGAGCTCATTGGGGAAGAAAAATTGATGGATGGAGCTACAGCTCACACAGCCCAACATGCACTGAATGTTTTGCGAGCATAAAAAGGGGCTTTGAGATTCTCCTCAAACCCTATAAGACCTAAAAGAGAGCATTGTTAAGAAAGTGAACGCTTTTGCCAGCGATATGTGATAACGAGCTGATTAGAGATTGAGGAGTCGTCTCCAACAGTTTGTTACTTCAAGATGTAAAATAACTTATCACTCCGAAATTATTTTTTTTTTTGTATATCCAGATGTTCTTTATAACCCCTTGAAACTGCTGAGTTGGTTTTGTTGCACCTTGTACTTTTCGTAACCCCTTCCTACTCGGTCTTAGAGCTCATGCTCATTGAAGTCTCTCGACATTTTCTTGGAGTAAGTATTTTCAGCTAACCAGTCCCATGCGTCAACTTCCAACTATCCATCAGGAAACAGTGTTTCAACAGAAGTGCATTAAATGAATCCTGGTTCAATTCCTTGATGGCATCAAATCCTTGATGGATGCGGTATATAGTCTTAGATCTAGTATTGGAGACGGGAACAAAGAAGTGGGAATTGTCTAGTGGAAAACTTGAAAAGATTGTACGCGGGTACAAAGTCCATTGGGCAGTATCAACAGGACATCAGTGAGACAAATGATTTGAAACTAAACTCTTTGCTCATTTCCGCAATTTTTTTGCAGAATAGTAGAAACTCACTATATGAATACCATTCTTAGATTTAGCTGAACGAATCAGCGAACATAACGAAAATAAGGGGATTTACCGGAAATCATAAAATGACATTTCTGGGCAAACGGGAGGCACCTATCGTATTTTACGTGGAAAAAACATGTTTTTAACGAATACAATGAAAATAGCAGCAATGTTATTTATTCTATTCTCTAACAGAATCACTGTTAATAAAAAACTTTCTGGATAGAAAGCTTCATATCTCATCGTCGAATTACCTATTTACTCTAGAAACAACGCTCCGTGTAACGCAGAAACATTTCACTAGACGGATGAAAGGAGAGAAATCTGTGTAAAACTCTTAAAAGTTTCCCAGTATAACTGAAACTTTTTCTTCTACTTCCCGCGCAACGAACGCTGTGATTACTAAATCGATGCAATGACAAGATGGCGAAGTTTTACAAGGAGAATATTACGATTTGATGTTGAGGAATGGCGAAAAGTAGTATGAGTTATTCGATTTTTACGATTGTTTTCTTGGAAACGCCATTTATTTGAAGTTTACGACGGCAATTTAATAGGAACTGGGCAGAGCGGCCATCAGGCAGAACGGCATAGTTCTGTAACTCGAATTATGAGGGATATTTTTCTTGTTTTTTCATAAATTTCGCATGACTATTTCATTTATAGCGCACGATAAAGGAATATTTTTATGTTGATTTTAAAAATACCTGACAAAAGTACTCTTGAAGATGGTATGTATGTGTGTTTCTATGGTCGTATTTTAATCGTGCAAGTTTCTGTTGAACGATATAAACATAGTAAACCTCGCCAGTAAATTGATTAACTGAAAAGGTGTAAGGTAGAGGGAAATATTAATCTATCATCAGATATCATGCCCATTTTTTAGTTCGCCTAGAATCATTTGTCCCCAAAATGTTATGGTAACTGAGAAAACTTATACGTATATTTTGAATCTCTCGCCGCTCCCATCGCATAAGTGATTTCTTTCCACGAATAAACAGTCATCTCCTTTGGTTTTTGGAGATTTCCGAAGAAAACTCTATTCTAGTGAGTCTT